AACACAAATAGAAAAGTACAATACAAGCAAAAGGAAAGCAGGATCTCGAGGACCAACCAATCAAGAGAGGGAAAGAAGAGCCAGGAAACATGACAACGACAAGCCACACAGCCATACGGAGAAGATGGGCAGGGAAACGATCCCAAGAACCTCCAGAAGACCCTCGAATCCAGCAGTCAATTGGAAAGATTCCCACCCTGACCAACTACATATACTGATTCCCATGAACCAAGAAACTGCACTAAAGATGGCAATCTGCAATAGTAGCCCCATGCTTGGAGCGCCCGTCACTCCAGGCCCCTGAACATGGGCTGCCTGTCACGACTTGCCAGCTGCTGCCGTGCTGTCTCTCAGGTAGATGACTAAAAGTGTCTCAGGTTTATGCTTCTTGATGGGAGGAGGGCTCTGAGATTCGAGATGGAAATGCATTGCTTTCTGTGGCTGGTGGCGGAGCCTTCCTGGCTCCTTGGTGACATTGCAGAGTATAGACAGTCTTTTCTTCGGCCGGGATGGAGGGGATACGGAGTTGCTGAGAGGTGACTAAGGCGACTTGGGACGTGGAGGCGCCCGAGCCCGGCCTGGTGGTCTGAGCGCGGGGACGCAGCGGAGGCGGAAGACCACAAACACTTTCACGCGTGCGCAAGAGGATTGGCGGCGGTGGTGGCGGAACAAGACGCTGCTCACGTGCGTGGCCACGTACATAACCGCGGCCACAGTGGGCATGCTGCGGGCTTCCTACGCCGCCATGCCTCTGTATCGGCTTTACTGCCAGACTACCGGACTTGGAGGATCAGCAGTAGCAGGTCACGGATCAGACCAAGTGACAAACACGGTGTCTGTTAAGGACCGTATCATTAAGGTTACCTCCAGTGCACATGTCCACGCCAGTCTCCAGTACAACTTTAGACCTGAGCAATCGGAGATCTACCTTCCCTAATTTCTCTGTTGATGATGATATAAGAATGTTGAAAATCAACAGAGAGAGGGCAGGGTAATGAAAAAAAAAAAATATATTGTGTCCAGGAACAAATTAATGAAAGAATCAAGGTGGTACGAGGAGACTACGCTGGCATGTTATAAAGCAAAGAATCCTACTGGCAAACCAGTAATTGGAATTCCTACATATAATGTACCATTTGAAGTGGGACAGTATTTTAACCAAATACAGTGCTTCTGTTTTGAAGAGCAAAGACTTAATCCCCAAGAAATAGCTTTTGGCTTTCAGCTAGGAGGAGGCTAAGGTGCAACTTTCTTCGGTAGTCCCAAATCTGGGTTCATCCTGATACAGGGAAAAAAACTGGTCTCAGGTGAGTGACCTCCAAACAATATAGGGAACCTCCAAATGACATGGGGAAAAAAAAAAACGATCTCTGGACCTGACCTGCTAGAATTCATGTTCTCTAAAACTGAAGAATGAATTTTAGGAACAAATAGAGGTTATGAGCAGAATATATTTATTGAGAGAAAGCTCCTGTCCCGAGAGAGGGACAGGAGGGGGGGTGCGAGCGGGTAGTTCCCCCCTGATTTTGCTTTTCATAGTTTCAGTTACCCAGTCAGCTGTGGTCCAAATGTAACAAACGGAAAATTTTTTAGATGTAAAAATTGTTAAGTTTTAAATTGTGTACCATTTTAAGTGATGCCGCTCTGTTCTGCTCTGCCTGGAACATGAATCACTTTATCCAGCATATTCACATTGTATATGCTGTTAGTCATTTAATCATCAGACAGCTTGTCACAATGTCACAAAGCTTGTCTGCTAGTAATCCTTACATTACTTATAATGCCCACAAAAAGAAGTAGTAGTCATGCTGGCAATTTGTCAAAGAAAAGCTATAAAATGCTACCTTTAAATGAAAAGGTGAGTTGGACATGGGGACACATGCCTGTAATCCCAGCACTCAAGAGGCTCAGGGAGGAAATCATTGCAAGACCATCCTGGGCTATGTAGTGAGTGCAAGACCTGAACTACACAGCAAGACTCTGTCTCAAAAAGGAAAAAAAAAAAAAAAAGATACCATACTCATTATTCCCTTATTGTGCTTTATTTATAAATTAAAATCTATCTTGGAAATATATATACCAAAAAAAACAGGGTATGTAGGCTTCAGTATTACCCATGATTTCAGGTGCCACTGAAGGCCTTAGAATCTATTTCCTGAGGATGGGGTACAAACACGTAAGTATCCTCTACCTGAAGCTTGAAGGGCAGGTAGGCCCTACCCATAAAGCAATCAACAAGACTGAGAGCGGTGCTGCCTTGGCCCCAGCTGCAGGAATGGCTGATCATGGGAGGACACCTGCCTTTATGAGCGGATCACTCAGAAGAGTGAGCCAGAGGTATCCAGATCCAAAAGAAGTGAGCAATGTGCTTGGGGGAGCAGCTTCCTCAGAGGATGCTGACTTCACCATAGAACCACAATCCCAAACGTGGGTGTGATGGTACACGCCTGTAATCCTGGCATTTGGGAGGCTAAGGCAGGAGGACTGCTGAAAGTGTGAGGCCCTTCATGCACCTTTACCCACTCTGAGGTGAGCCAATGACTGCCTCCTACAGGTGTTACCACAGTCAGTGGGGACACTACTGGAGGACTGAAGGCTGCAGAGGCCCAGCTGTGTCAGTATCTGTTTACCATTTCCCACACAGTATGTCCCAGTAGGAAATATGAACTCTTGTCCTAAGGAGCTTCATATATCTGAACTCTTCAGGTATATGAAGTATGATGAAAACAGACTGAATGTTTAAATGTTTAAACACATTGGCATTAATCCCTCACAATACTCCCCCTCAATTTAAACACACTTATGCCACTGTCTTGCCACTTTCTGAAGAATTCCAGAGGTCCTCTTTCAGGTCCTCACAAGGTGTGATTGAATGTGGTAGATGGTGCTGCTGAGTGCAGACCAATGCAGAGGCAGGCTTATAAAACATGGTGTCCTCATCTACCTCATACACCAAATCTAGTACTGTGTGACTTCTATGTCATCCCGTAAGTCAAAATGGCCAAAAAGAGTAAAACTTTTAAATTGACTCAACAGATCAAAGCAGCCACACTAGCACAACTAAAGACATTCATGAAAAATGAGTTCCACCACTGCTTTAGGAACATTCAGTGTAAGGGAGAATAGCAAGATACTTTTACTGTAATTTTTTAAAACTTCATTTACCAAGCCAGGCATGGTGGTGCACACCTGTAATCCCAACATTTGGGAGGCTGACTCAGGAGGATCATTGCAAGTTTGAGACCACTCTGGGCTATAAAGTGAGCTCAAGGCCAGCCTGAACTGCAGACAGTCTCAAGGGAAAAAAAAAAAAAATCATTTACCATATATTTCATCACATCACATAGTAGTAGGAAGTTAACCTTTTTGGAGTATAAGGTCAGGGTCAGAAATATAGCCCAGCTGTCAATTAGAGTGAATAAAATCCTTAAAATTCAGGGAATTTTTGTGCATAGGGACTCATAAGCATTATATTCAGGTTTAAGGCCTTGTTCATTCATCTTTCACTTTACTGGCAAGTTGACATTTCTGTACTACCACTCAGCTTTGGTACTGTTTATATAATTTAGTGCACATGTCCATAAATATTTTAACTGTTCACTGTAAACTTTTTTGTGGGTCTCACTATGTAGTCTAAGCTGGCCTTGAACTTGTGATGATCCTCCTGCCTCAGAGCTGGGACTATAGGGGTATGTCACTATATCTGGTTGTCTTTTGTTCTTTTGAGATAGGTTCTTGCTATGTAGTTCGGGTTGGCCTTAAATTTCCTATGTAGCCCAGGAAGTTGACTTCAAACTCACAGTGATCTCCTGCCTCAGCCTCTTGGTGGAATTAGAGACATGTACCACCACACTGGGCAATTATAAAATTAATCAAATCTTATTCTGAATATTTCATAAAGAAAAAAAACTTTATTTTCTTTCTGCGCTCCTCTCCCCATGTCATTTTGTGATGCCCAATCATTTAAGCAAGAATTTAAAAATACAAAATCCTTTTACTGCCACATGTTCATAACCAAAAATGACTTTTATCACCTAGTAAATGAACTGTACAACCTAATATCCTCTGATCAAAACTCAGGTCCTTTCTGGTTTTCTATCACTATGTTCAATGAAGAATTCATTCTCTTTTTTTCTTGTTTTTTCTTTTGGTATTTTTTTTCTTGACAAGGTTTCACTATGCAGCCCAGGCTGGCCTTAAACCCCCAGCAATCCTCTTCTCGAGTGCTGGGATTACAAGTGTGCACCACTATGCCGGATCCATAACGGGCCTGTGCAGCATGTGGTGCCTGGGACTGAACCACGATCCCTGCGCTTGCCTAAGCAGGTGCTTAGTCCGCTGAGCTATCTCACTGGCCCATGCTCAGACTTTTCTTTTCTTCTTCTCCCACTCCCACTCCCTTTCAGTAATGGGCTTTGAACCCAGGGAGCACTGAGCTATATCCTCAGTCTCTCTTTACTTTGATCTGTGTAAGTCTGCTCTGAACTATATCCCCAGCCCTTTGTTTTTCATCCTAAGACAGGACCTTGCTAATTCTCTAAATTTCCTAGGCTGGCCTAGAATTTACAACCTCTCACCTCACGCTCCTAAATAGCTAGGATTACAGGATTACCTCTAGTCCCAATGCATTCACTTACGTAAGTAAAAACTGTTAAAATACCCAGTAATAAACACAAATTGTTGCTGCTGAATCAAACCACATGATGCTTGCCTAGTTATATAAACATCAAATTTAGGAGCATTATATAGATTGAGGAGAATGGAGGTAAACATTAAGAATTTTTTTTTTGGACTGCGAATCAAACCTCAGGATAAACCTTGCACTAGCCAGGCAGGTGCTGTGCCACTGAGCTGTATTCCCAGCTTGCATTAGGATTTTACATTGCCATTATTAGCAAGTGAAGCAATAAAGTACATCAAAAGCAGAGTGAGTGGCAAGTGTTACAAGAACAAGGGGTGAGGGAACTGCCACTAGAAAGCACCGGACCCCTTTCCACAAATCTCACATTGGAGAAAACTAAATTTAATTAAGAAAGCCCTTGAAATCAAGCTGTTCCACATGAAGTACTGTTAAAGTCGAAAGAGGTTACATATCCCCCCTTGCTAATAACAGATTTTCATGGCTAAGGTCTCTCAGAGTAGCCCCCCAAATAAGCAACTGGCTGCCAACACTGGCACACAGGACCATTTTCCTTCTCATTAATGGGCCATCAATTCCTGTGTAGGGTAGTCTTGCCTTAACTAACACTGCACAATCCATTTACTTCTTTTACATTAGTGACTTCAAATGCACCTTGGGGAGATACGACAGAACAGCAAATATGGACTCAAGCCAATTTGAGGCTTGCAAAGACACAGGAAAAGCTGTAGCATTGAGGACAATGTTTAAAAAATAAAGCCTAGCAGGATGCATGTGAGGGAGGGTGCGGGGCGGTGGGACACATCCTCTGTCAATTTGCTGAGGCAGATGGGCCCTGCTGTGAGAGCTGCCCCCTCCTGGGAAAAAAGCCAGTAGGTTGTCTCTTCTCTCCACAGCTACATATTAAGCCTGCAACTGTTTACGTTCAATCTCAGATACATTCTGTTCACCAGCTTCAGAGTTCCAAGTGCAGGTGCCCTCAGTTAATCATCGAAGCTCACTCCAGAGTCACTTCCAGCAGTGAAGGATGTTCCAGGCAACCAGCCAGCCAGCAGCAATTCTTTTCTTTTTTAATCTGCACCATTCTGGTCTCCAAAGACTAAGTTTAAAGTTTGTTTTTTGTTTAAAGTACTTTCTTCAAACAAGAGGATAATGGTCATAGGACAAATCTAGGACTTCAATATGGACAGAGAAATAAATGAAAAAAAGAGAATCATACTCCTGAAGGTGGTGAGGTTGTGGTGGGCCCATGGAGCAGGAAATAGAGATGAACAATAAACTAAAAAATACTTTAAAAGTTACTGTGGAGGACAAGAAAACCAATTTCACGTTCATTTTGAAAAAGCTATGTATTTACTTTTCCCAAAATATTATTCTAAATAAATGTCTTATAGACAGGGTTAATATGAGTTAGAAATATGCTATGCAATAAAACCATTTTTACAGATACTGGGAATAATTCTAACAGAAGATATTCACATATATGTGGCTATAGCTATGTTTCATAGAAAAATTTCAGCATCCAAAGTGCAAGACAAAAATGACTTTTAAACCAGAAAGCAAACTCAGGACCTCACCTTGCCTGGTAGGTGCTGCAGCACTGAGCTATATTCCTGGTCCCCCCTTTTATCTCGACTAACTTTTCTTACCACATGAAATACTGATAATCTTCCCTTACAGCTACTGTTAATTATTAGTGAGATGCCATGCAGACAATATGCTGACCTAGAAACAGGGCTCCACTGGAAATGAGTGGGAGGTCAATCAGAATGAATTCAAATTTGAAAAACAAAATGGCTCTGACCTCAATCAACCCAAAAGTCCAGGCAGAGCTCCATTAGAGATTAAACAACTAGTTGTAGTATCACATTTATAAGATTGTGCCCCTTTATACTATTAAGACCTAATCAAACCAAATTAAAGCTAAGCCAATTCCCAGCACTAGTTCTGTCCTCCACTTATCTCATTTTTATGAACGCTCCACACTACAGCTTAGTCCATCATGGGGGAAGGAAACCCCAAGTTCTAAGGAGGAGCCACACTAATCCACTCTCAAATTCCTTCTTTACCCTGCCCTCCCACTTCCCACCCTGAGACAAGTCAGTCTTACCATAGAAGTAGAATTTGTCATTGTCTCATGAAAATTAGTTCTCAGTGACACAAGTCAAAAGCCATTCCACCAGCAGCACTTGGCTTTAAGCCAGAGGGATGCCCCTGCACCCCAAAAAGATTCAGAACAAATTTCATATTACCTCTCTATTCATGTAAAGATCTCCAATCTAAAAGCTCCAAATGACAACCAGCACAAGATGCTGATGTTACATTACTGGAGGAGAAAGAAAGGGAGATATATATAGTTTTAATAAAACCCTCATGCACAATTAAACTTGATTAAAGGCCTGGAGAATGCTAAAAGTAGTAATGAGTACAGAAGGCTGCAGAGCAGAGTACAGGTGTGCCCCTTCTTGCAGTTGGTAAATGCTGGGAGATAACAGGCAGACGTGACTTCACTTGAGCATTGGAGAAGCAAAAAACTTGCCTTGTCGCCCTAAGTTGGTGGCAGACTTGGTTTTGCTCCCAAACCTAAAAAACAAAAAGTAAACTGGGAAAGCATACTATAAAAAATGATTTTTAAAAAACCAAACAATTATGCTATTAGAAATAATTGGCTAAAAGTAGAAAATCTTAGGTAATATTTTGAGGCATTTTTACTTGAAATGAGAAAGGGGAAGTAGTGAAGACCTTCAGACCCTTTTAAAGATACGGACCTCTGGCTCCAAGTTTCTCTGTAAAGTCTAGTTTACAGATCCTTAGTCTAGTGTAAGATCCAGACTGATTTTTCTTACAATAAACTTCTGATATGCTAGGAAAGAAGTCTAAGGAAATAATAAATGTTATTTTGGAAAAGCCCATTTTCCATACCTGGGTGTGTTCCTAGAGAGGATGGAATGAACTCTCTGTGACAGGGAGCTTGAAGAAGGAGTCTTGAGAAGCTGGTGCTCAGGAGTGGTCACAGGCCCCAGGAAGCTCACTTCAAACAAACAAAGTTCAGACATATTTTTTAAAAGAAGGTGGGGGAATTACCCTTGAAGATGACCAGTGTTTGTTTTCTTTTGTTTTATTGAGACAGGATCTCACTATGCAGTCCAGGCCAGCCCTGAACTCACTATGTAGCCTAGACTGGCTTCAAATTCATGGTGATCCTCCTAACTCAGACTCCTGAGGTTTGGGACAGCATGCACCACCATACCTGCTGATAGCCAGTTTTAAAACTACTACCTTCTGAAGCACTTAAGAGTGAAAGTTCAACACCTAGGAAAGTCTCACCTATCATTTTTATCACCATTTGTGACACACTGGTGTATCCTGGAACTATGTAGACAACTACTAGGTGAAAAGCTGACTTACACCATTTTCTTTCTTTTTTGTGCAGGGTCTCACTACACAGCTCAGACTCATAGTGATCCTCCCGTTTTCAGCCTACCCTAGTGCTGGGATTACAGGCATGCGCCACCACGCTTGGACTCCTTTCTGGCTCAGTATGCCCAGGGGGGTGGGGCTGGCATGGCATGTGGCATGTGGCATGTGGCAGTGCTTAGTCCGCTGAGCTATCTCAAAAGCCCTCTGGTTTTTTTAAAAGGAGAATAAAAAATAGTAAAAAAAAAAAAAAAAAAAAAATTAGAAATGATACAGAATTTCACTAAACAAAATAATAGGAATTCAACAATGGTTGTTATACTGCATAATGTCTTCAAATGAGTTGTTTAATAACACCTTCAAAAACCAAACTTCACATATCCAACATCTGAACATTTAATTTTATACTAGGAAAAACAATGTGCTTCCTGTAAAAGGAACTTGCACTAATAAAAAATATGAGTCTCCAATGCCAGTGAAATTGGGATGAAACCTCCTTATTCCTACAAACTGTTGGTGATAACATAGGCAAAAAGCTTCTTAAGAAATCAAGTTGGTGGGCTAGCAAGATAGCTCAGCAGACTAAGCACCTGCTTAGGCAAGTGCAGGGACCAGGGTTCGATTCCCTGTATTACATGCCACACTGGCCCCACCCTTGGGCATGCTGAGCCTTGACAGGGTTTGGGCGTGGTGGTACACACCTATAATTGCAGCAATGGGGAAGCTCAAAACCAAAGGATCACTACGAGTCTGGGCTGTGTAATGAGACCCTGTACCAAATACAAAAAAATTAAAAAAAAAAAAAGAAAGAAAGAAAATTGGTAAAATATCGAGAAACATAGAGATGGGCTGGCCAAATAGCTCAGCTGATTAAAGCACCTGCTTAGGCAGATGCAGATGCAGGGACTGGGGTTCAATCCCTGGTGTGCTGTGCCGACCCTACCCCCAGGGCAGGCTGAGACCGCAATTGAGACTGAGTGTGGTGGCATATGCCTGTAATCCCAGCATTTGGGAGGATGAAAACAGGAGGATCACTACGAGTCCGGATCTGTGTAGTGAGACTCTGTAGACCCTGTACTAAATACATTAAAAAAAAAAAAAAAAAAAGAAAGAAAGAAAGATATAGATGATTAACATATTCTCACCATCTTGAATGACTGGTGGTGCGTGCATGAGTGTCCCATCCGGCAGCCTTTACCACCGTTGGTAGAAGTGGTACACTCATGTATGGGATAGTCACGGTACCACTGGCAGTGACACATGTACCTCAAGCAACCTGGCAGTGAGGCATTTCAATTATGGCCCTGTTGTGAATGTGTTAAGTCTTTTAATTTAGTTGATTCACATTCTTGCAAGTTTATTACTAGGGTGTATCTATCTAATGTTGGCTACAGTATTATTTTTAATCATGAAAAATTGAAAGATAATGTCAGTACCTAACAGAACACTTAGATAACTTATTTACAACTAATAAAAACACTAAGATTATACAGTAGCAGATGCACTCCTATAATTCCACATACTCAGAAGACTGAAGTAAAAAGATCGTAAGTTTGAGGCCAGGCCAGGTAAGTGTGATCCTGTCTCAAAGGTTTTATAGGGGTTTTTTTTTTTTGGAACTGGGGATTGAACTCAGGACCTTACACTTGCCAGCCAGGCACTTATTCTACTGAGCCATCTCCCTGGCCCCTTCAAAGAGTTAAAAAAAAAAAGGAAGATGGAAAAAGGAAGGGGAAAGGGAAAAGGGAAAGACAGCAGGCTGGGGATACAGTTCAGTAAAAGAGCAACTTACCTAGCATAAGTGTGGTCCTAGGTTCAATCCCTAGTACCATATAAACTTACAAAGATCATATGGTAACAGAAAAACAATTCTCATAATATTGGTAAATGAAATAAGAACAAATTATGTCTAAATTACTATTATCTACACTACAGATATAAATTCAGGGGTTGGGGATATAGCTTAGTGGTAGGCTGGTTTCCTAGAACGCAAGAGGCTCTGCTTTCAATTGGCAGTAAAACCAAAAATAAAAAGCAATACATCCATATAAAAAAGGAATACAAGGGGAAAAAATTAAGATGGTGAGATAAATTTTCCTTTAATGTTGGGATTTTCAAAATAAATTTAATTGTTACTGAAGAGTATGAATTTTAAACAGTACTATAGCAAAGATAGGGGAAAGAATACAGTATATAACCAAAACTAGTAAGAAAGACAAGGTCCCAAAGAAGCACAACTTAAGCCTGACCTTTACTATCTGGTGTCTGTGGCGTTGAAAATGCATTTGTGTTTTCTATGACATGCAGGGCATCAATGTTCTCCTGTTCCACGATCATGAATTGACTCCAGTATTCCAGGGGCAGTAAAAGCAGGCGCTCTACTACCTAAACAACACCAAACATATTTGCAAACTTTCAAGGCTCAAGGCTTACTTTTCATCATGCTTTCATGTTACCATACTACTCAAGTTCCCTCACACACACCCCTACCTTGGGTTGGCGCTTAATGTCCTGTAGCATTGTCATCGGGTCTGGATTGGGCACAGCATGGGCGACTATCGTAGGGCCAAATACTTTAGCCAGATTGGGAATATCCATTTTTGTGCTTGGACTCTGAGCCACTCTAAGCAAAAGAATATTATATTAAAGACCTACTCCTCCATTAAATGCAGACCAAATACAAGTTCTACAGGAAAACAATTCACCTCTCACATTTACTAGTACCAATCCTACACTGTCTTCTTCTTGGAAAATTCCCTAACTCCCAGAACAAGTTTCTACTGTACTTACCTCTGCAAGTGAATCATGAGGAAGGCTAATGTGTCCCTGTTGGCCTGGGGCAATTCACCAACAGCCTGGTACATAGCGGCTATGCTGTTGTCTTCATCTGTGATTTCTGTAAATGAAAAGAGAGCACCAAGAGGTCTAAACTTCTTTCCCTTGGCAGTGACCTACCAGGATATCGACCACCAAGTCTCATCTATACAGTAAGCTTCTGAAACTTCTGACTAGGTTCATGACTGCATCAGACTCTAGTTTCATTAACAAGCGGAACACTGGCCAACAGCTCAATATTAGAAGTCAGAACTTTAAAAAAAAAATCACCCTTGTAGTTAGGGAAAACAGCTGGCAACCTATCTGCTAGGAAGAAAAGGCAGACAACTACAGCAGCAATTACCAAGAAGGTATCATCAATAAGACATATTTAAGGGCCTGCTGTACTGTGTACCAGGCACTTTTTTTTTTTTTTTGCAGAACCAGGGATTTCTATTGAGCCATTTCCCTGGCCCCCCAGGCACTATTCTAAATGTCAAAAATAAAGCAAACAGAAGTTATTGCCTCATGGAATATACATTCTATTGGAGGAGTTAGTCAAAATGCAAACATATCTCAGGTAAACAATATATAAATAAATATATGGTGGGCAAGAAGCTAGAAAGTAATGGGAGCTGTTATTTTTAGAAAGGTGATCATGAAAGATATTTCTGAAGACAAGATATCTGAAGAAATGCCTGAAAGAAATAAAGAGGCAAATCACACAGCTGGCTATCTACTGGGAGAGCATTCAAGGCTGAGACAACAGCAATTATGAAGGAGCTCAGGTGGGGAGAAAGCGTGATATAGTCTAATAAAGGCAAGAATGCCAGGATAACTGAAAGGCAAGAAAGAGTGCTGGGCAAAATGGTGAGATACAACCAGAAGTCAAATCATGTCTAATATTTTGTTTTTTTAAAATTTTATTTATTGGGGCTGGAGAGATGGCTCAGTGGTCTAAAGCACCTACTTGGAACAAGCTTGGCAAAGCACAGGGACCGCGGTTCAATCCCCCAGCACCACATGCCAGCCAGCCCCGCCCCCTGGTGGGCTGAGCTGGCCACACACACACACACACAATAAATAAATGTAAAATAAATAAATAAATAAAATTTTAAAAAAAATTTATTTATTTACGTGTACATGTGTGTGTGTGTGTGTGTGTGTGTGTGTGTGTGTGGCCAGCTCAGCCCACCAGGGGGCGGGGCTGGCTGGCATGTGGTGCTGGGGGATTGAACCGCAGTCCCTGTGCTTTGTTTGCTAAGTTTGTTCTAAGTAGGTGCTTTAGACCACTGAGCCATCTCACCAGCCCATGTCTAATATTTTGGGCCCCATTAAAGCCTGTGGATCTCACTCTAAAACTGATGGGAAGATACTGGAGGATATTAAGGACAGAGGAGACATCATAGAATTTAAATTTTATTTTATTTTATTTTATTTTTTTTAAATTTTATTTATTAGAGAGAGAGAGAGAGAGAGAGAGAGTGGTGTGTGTGTGGCCAGCTCAGCCCACCAGGGGGCGGGGCTGGCTGGCATGTGGTGCTGGGGGATCGAACCGCGGTCCCTGATGCTTTGCTAAGCTTGTTCTAAGTACGTGCTTTAGACCACTGAGCCATCTCTCCAGCCCAGAATTTAAATTTTAAAATAACCACTCTAGCTCCTGTATGAACATCATATTAAAAATGATACAAGTAGAAACAGGACAATCAGCTAGCACATGCTTAAATATCTGAGGGATCAAAGCCTGTCATAAGGAGTAGTTGTACATCTATTACCCCCTTCAAAAAATATCAAATTTAAGATACATCTTATAAAACTGCAGATAAGATTTGACAATGGATCAGATGGAAGTATGAAGAATCAATGGTTCTAACTTCAAAGAACAATCTAACAAAATAAGACTTGCCATGCTCGCCCCACCCCTAGGGCATGCTGAGATGGCAATTGAGACTGGGTGTGGTGGCACATGCCTGTAATTCCAGCTCTTGGGAGGCTGTAAAGAGGAGAACCACTACCAGTCTGATCTAGTAGTGAGACCCTGAACACCCTGTAGACCCTTCCCTAAAAATACAAAAAAAAACAAAAAAAGAACACTTGAACAAAAAATAAGATTAAAGAATAACAAAAGGACCTCATTAATACTTTGTATGAAAGAAGAGGGGGTATAAGGACACATAAAATTATTCACCCATCAAACTATGTGAACACCTACTGTATTTCAAGCACGGTACTGGGCAGGGAATAGAGAAGTAAAAAGAATGAAAAATCCCAGCCCAAGTGGAACAACATTCAAGTACTAAGATCTGCCCTTACCTGCTGCCTCCATAAAGGTTTTGTTTAACCGAAAGGTCAGAAGTGGTTCTTTGAGGTTTCGAAGGAAATCTTTCAGGAGGCTGCAGATGGCATGGACATCATCTACCTTGCTGAGGAGGGGTACAGTTTTCACTTTCAGGAATTTCTCTTTCAGTTCTTTTACTGTCCGGTCACAGCCTGAGATCCTATATAAGCCTGTCTATTATCAAGATAACATTTTTATTTAAGAAACTCGTAATTATTAATGTAAATTCACCCTGTCCCAGTGCTGACTCTTACCTCAGTCAGGCCTCTCTGCTCAATCTCATTTACACAATGGACAACAATAGAAGGGATCATGGGAGAAGTCTGTGACACAAAATCAGCCAGCATTCCCTGAAAAGAAAATGAGCTTTATCATTTATATCTCTTAGATCAGCAGCAAAAGATCATGTGTGAAGAACCACATCCAATGGCTGGGGATATGGATCAGTGAAGTGTTTGCCTTGCATATATGCAAAGGCCTTGATTCACTTCCTACTTCCACCTCTCCACCCAAAATACCACCTCAACACTAAGACTCAAGTTGGGACACTGTAACTTTTTCAAGACAGTGTCCTGATATGGTAATTCGGGCTGGTCTTGAACTCACTTTGTAGTACAGGCTGGCCTCGAACTCACTTTGTAGTACAGGCTGGCCTCGAACTTACAGAGATGCTCCTGCCTCAGCCTCCTGCTGAGATCACAGAAGTGTGCCACCACACCTAGCTACCAAAGCATACATTAAAACAGAGATTCCCAATACTTTTTCTTACTTCCACACTAGAATTGATTTAGGATCAAAGATACCACACTCTTGCATGAATGAATAAGATCATAAGGGCTGGTAAGATAGCAGCACACTAAGCACCTCCTTAGTCAAGTGCAGGCACTTGGGTAAGATCCCTGCTGCACCACCCTAGCCCCGCCCCTGTCCCCCACCCCAGTGCACTGAGAGGGCTACTGAGACCCCGGCTGGTCTCGCCTATAATCCCAGCGCTGGGGAGGCTGTAAACAGGAGGATCACTATGAGTCCAAGCTATGTAGTGAGATCCTGTACCAAACACTTAAAAAAAAAACACAAAATAAAATAATGTCACCAGGTATGACTGCCTCCTCATCCACTTAAGGATAGCAGAAAGCAAGCCATAATGAGATTGTAAGTACGATCTTTAGTATAAGCTAACTTACTACTATAAAAAAGGAAGTCTTTTTACACTTTATTAACAGTTAAAAAAAATTTAACATTTTTCATAGTTGATCATGACGCAAATCTACCTATGAGGAAGAACTTCATGGCTCCATATTAGAATACAAAAAAGTTTTTAAAAACTATAGGGGTGGGGCGGGGCAAAAAAATACTATATATGCACGGGTAAGAACTCTATGATTAAAAAAAACATGGGTAGGGTGGCCTATGCCTGTAATCTCAGCACTGGGGGAGGGTGAGACAGGAGAAATAAGAAGATAGCAAGTTCAAGTCTCATGTGGACAAACAACCTTGCTTCAAAAAATAAAATAAAGAGGAGGAAATAACATAAGATGTTTGCTTTTATTTTTGTCTTATTTATACAACCAGTAATTTTAATTTCTTAATGAGGTTTTTTCTTTCTTTCTTTCTTTTTCTTTTTTTTTTTATTTTTATTTTAGGGAAGGGTCCACCAGGTGTTCAGGGTCTCACTACTAGAACAGACTCATAGTGATCCACCAGTTTACAGCTTCCCAAGAGCTGGGATTACAGGCACATGCCACCATGCCCAGTCTCAATTGCTGTCTCGGCATGACCTGGGGGCAGGCCCAGGGATGGAACCCTTGGCCCCTGTGCCTGCTTGCAGGAGCTTTAATCCACTGAGCTATTTGGCCTGCACTTCTTAACGAGATTTATAGATGTTTAGAAATAACTTTTTTTCTTTTTCTGAGACATGGTTTCATCATGTAGTCTAGGGTTGGCCTCAAACTCAATTCTCCTGAATGCTGTGACTAGGAGTATGCCTTATGCCCAACTCCAATAAACTATTCTTAATAGCCTAGTTTGGAATATCTCTAGCAAAAGAGAAAAAAAAATACAGTTGGTATTATATAATGGCTGGGATCTGCATCAAAATAATTCAGTGAACAGGGTTGGAAGGAAGAAAAGAGAATCAATCAACAGTGATCAAGAGAGCTGGGTGGTGGCTCACACCTATAATTCCAGTACTCAAAGGTTGAGCTAAGAGGATCACTGCAAGTTTGAAGCCACCTTGAACTACACAGTGAGAGACACCCTGTCTCAAAAAAACAAAGACAATGCATATCAGTAAATCATGGAAGTGAGAAGAACCAAGGGTTAGATCTCCTTCCTATCTACCTATCTAACTATGAAATTTTCCAAAATAGGACAGGAGGAAGGGAAAAATTAGAAAAAAAGTGTAGCTGGGTGTGGTGGCACACATCTATAAACCCAGCACTTAGGAGGGTGAGGCAGGAGGATCACTGTGAGTTTGAGGCCAGCCTGGGTTACAAAGTGAGCTCAAAGCCAGACTGAGCTGCATAGTGAGACTCTGTCTCAAAACAGACAAAAAAAAAAGAAAACAGGAGAAAGGAGAGAGAATAAGTAAAGAGTCAGGAGTGAAGAGTTTGGTTTTAGAAAGTTGTTCTTTCTTTTTTTTTTGTACCAGGAATCAAACTCAGGACTTCCCACTTGCTGGGCAGGCACTGTGGCACTGAGTTAAACAACCTAGCCCTACAAAGGTCATTAAACAAACTCAAACACAACTTGGCTACAGGTTAACATTTTACAATTTCTATTCATTGTTCATGGAGGGAAATATATTTGGCACTGGTAATTTTAGAATAAAAACTAAAGATGGGCACAGTGACATACACCCATAATCTCTGCACGGAGGCAAAAGGACTGCAAATGCAAGCCCAGTCTGGAATTTTGCAACTTAGAATCACCCTGTTTCAAAGTTAAAAAAAAAAAAAAGTTTTAAAAGGAGGTGGAGGGCTGGGGAGATGGCTCAGTAGGATAAGCGCTTGACTGGCAAACGCAAGGATCTGAGTTCAATCCCCGGTTCCGCAAAAAAAAAAAAAAAAAAAAAAAGGAGGTGGAGGTGCTGGGGGTGTAGCTTAGTGTGAACATTCTGTGTTTAATCCCCAATATCACCAAAAAAATAAACTAAGCCTGACACTAAGCCCTTGAAAAGCTAAAGAAACCATACCATGATAGTTCAGGGAGCCATACCTCTCCAATTTTGACAGGTGTTTCTGTCAGGGTAGGAATGCAGGGAAGAGGACAGCGTTCCCGACATTCTGGATGAGAGACCACACGACAGTCTCGACACTTCAGAGATAATTTGCCAAATTTTATCCGCTTTCCACATGGAACACAGGATTCAGGTTTAATAACCTGAGAACAAAACAGGGCAGAAGAAATATACGAGTTGCAAAACTGTCATCATCAAGCAACACATAATATGCATTTAATATAAAGCTAACAACTCCTGAGACCTTTACCCACATTTACTTAAGTAATTTTCACAAAAATCCTATAAAGGTTTTGCTTTATTCATTTTAAGATAAGAAAATTTAAACAAAATGAAGTAAATTGCCTAACGCCATCCCCAACTGAAAGACAGCAGCAAACAGGAGTGAAAAGAATTTGTTGACAAGGAATCAGAAGGCCTGGATGTTAAATTTGCTACTTCTCATATGGCTCAAACAAGTGAATTAATTCCTATGAACCTCTAGTTAGTTTGCTTGAGTTTTCAGAAGGAAATCAAATTTACAAAGTTGAAATATTTTGAAAATCAAAGTGCTATACTCAGGCATAAAACAAGCATGTATCACTAAAGCTGTAAATACTGCTTACACAAAAAGTTGCTTTCTTTAATTTAGTATCATTCACAGAATAGAAAGATATATACCTTCTGTAACCAGTATTACCTCAGAAGAGTAGGACTGAAAACAGGAAGAAAATTTAACATATAACTGTAAAACACTAAAGAATTTACATTTATTCCCAGCATATAATACTTCCACAATTTTAAAAGAATATTATGAAACAGGGGGCCAGGGAGATAGCTCAGTAGAATAAGTGCCTGCCTGGCAAGCGCAAGGTCCTAAGGGTCCTAAGTTCAATCCCCAGTACTGAAAAAAAAAAAAAAAAAAAAAAAAGAGAGAGAGAGAAAGAAAGAAAATGAAACAATCACAGATTTACCGTCTTTGAGACAAAATCGTGCAAACGTGTCCCTCCATTACTCTGTGGTGTGCTAGAGATATCTGCCTCTGTTCTTGACTCCAGTGGTTTGCTACTCAGGGTAGAGTCACTGTTCCAAGGTTGTAAAGTACCTAGCAAAATTAAACATTTAGCTATTTTGTTGCATCTGAATTTTAGCCCAATTTCAATGTAACTAGTGAATAAACCATAACATGTAACCAAAACCTGAAGTAAATTTCAATAGGTAGTGGGCTGGGGAGATGGCTCAGTGGAATAAGCACTTCCCTGGCAAGTGCAAGGGTCTGAGTTCAATTTCCGGTTCCACAAAAAAAAAAAAAAAAAAAAAAAAAAATTATTTCAACACGTATGAAAAAAATGCAGTTTCAAGACAAACTAATTGCCAAGAATGGTGGCACATGCCTATAATTTCAGCAATTGGGAGGCTGAGGCAAGATGATTATCTCCAGTTCAGGGCCTGAGACCAGACCAGGCTAGCAACAAAAAGTTATAGAAGAACACAAACAGATCTGTGGTCCTTAAAAGATAGTAGTAAGAAACTACCCATTACAACCAATTCCTGCCTCAACAAGGTTCTAAGAAACCAACTCTCAAATTTTACAAGTAGGTTTGCACATGCAATTTAGTCACAAGCTCAAAAGACCTGTTTTCCTTCGGCTCCTGGTCCAGTACGGCACAGTCTCAATAGTAGATACAGCTTCAATGGGCCCACCATCATTAGGAACAGTCACTGTAGTTTTTGCAACTATGGATTCATTCCCCTGGAATAAAATTAGTAATGATGGGCTGCTAAGATAGCTCAGTGGACTAAGCACCTGATCCCCAACACCACATGCTGTGCCAATCCCGCCCTGGGGCGTGCTGAGTCAGCACCTAGTCTGGGCATGGTGGCACACGCCCATAATCCCAGTGCTAGGGAGGCTGAAAACAGGAGGATCACTAAGAGTCCAAGCTGCATAGTGAGGCCTGTACTAAATACATTAAAAAAAAAAAAATAGTAATGAAAAAGGATGAACATCAAGTCTAACTTTCCACTGTAGAATACTTTGCAGTGGTGAAAAATTCCTGAATCTTAATCGATGGTTCCAGCTCTAAACACCCTCAAGTTGAAATCTTGTTTTTAAAACACAAATATAGGGCCAGGGAGATAGCTCAGCAACATAAGCACCTGCCTGGCAAGCAGAAGATCTGAGTTTGATCCCAGGTACCAAAACCAAAAACATGTCACAAGGATAGATATATGAGCAATAAAAACTCAGACATATGCTGAGAGCTGTTTATTTGTGTGTGGTTTTTTTTTTTTTGTTTTTTTTTTTTGGCAAAATTGGGGATTGAACTCAGGCCTTTGCACTTGCCAGGGAAGCGCTTAATCTCACTGAGCCATTTCCTGGCCCATGAGCTGTTAATTTTATTAGAGTAATTCTACTCATTTGAATGATAGGATCTTATTACATAGACAAACTTACATAAAACAGCTCTCAACATAATACTGCAATGTTGACTTAGCCATTTTAATACTCAGGGCCACTAAATGCCTATGTATTCAAGAACACCCTTGTCTTGGCCTGCCCTCTCTTACCTGATCTACTGTGGAGCCAATGGAACGTGTTTTCTTTACAGGCCCAGGGGGTCCATCAACAAACTGTTGGCTACTAGAACGCTAGAAAGGGAACAGAGCCCAAACACTTTAGTACTTCTTATGTGGAGCACATAAGAATTTAAATAATTCCACCAGACAACTAAATACAAGTCCTAAGGACCAAGGCTACAATAAAAACAATGTGCTTTCCTTTGTTGCCCATTGCCACATGAAGAACAAGTTGCATGAGCACAAAAATGTTCTTAGTGCCCCAGAAAAAAAGGAACAAGCTTTGGAGAAATTTAGATGACAGCACCAGAAAAAGTAGAGCTGTAATCCTATCTTAGTACATTGAGGTCTTTGGAAACACAATAAGTACCCTAAACAAGCACACACAGATTTCTATATCCTATTATACACACATTTCATCTGAAGCTTTTATTAAAGTACAAAAGTCGTGCATAAAAATTCGTATAACTCAGATCTTAAGTATATCCTTTTCTACTACATGAATGGAGATACAGCCCAGACCAGTGAAATAGGACAGAATCTTGTCCCATATCACTACAGGAATATTAATGCCACCCCTACAGTATTAGTGTATTTATAACATGTGTTTAACATGTTGCTACAGCAACATGTCAGAAATGCAGTATCACAGCAAATTTTGTGAAGCTCTTTTGTTGTTACTTTATTAAACACACACACACACACACACACACACACATACCCTCTTTTGTCTTTTCTTCAGTTTAAAATTCTTCACCAAAGAAGAATCCCAGTCCTGTTGACAATATATTTTATTAATTTTTTTCTCTAGGTAATCCTCTTACAAACCTCACGTACATAAATTTATAGTGAACTTTCAAGGTTTCTTGAGTCAGAATACCTAACTTACAATTTGAAGAACAGGATAGGGAAAGTCTCCAGAGTTATGGCTGTAAGTCTATAGTAAGTTAACATGTTTTCTTTCAAAAATTGAAGCTATTATAATAGAATCAGGAATCAATACTACAGAGGCAAGAAAATGTTGAAGAATCAACTTCTGTCGTGATTATTTCTGGTGCCTGATCCTTTATTTCTGATTATTTTTGATTTAGTTTTAGAACTTATAGAACATTAGGCACTATACTGATCATGTTAGATGTGATTCTTGACCTTAAGGGATTGCTACTGTCTCATCAGATGTTTTATATAAAATACTGCTATTTTAAATGTTGAAGTTTGTTTAGTTTTTATGTCTCCCAATCATCCCTCTTTCTTGGGGCCTAAGAAAAAAGAGGTTCACCACTGAAGAATCATTTATCTTTTAGTATGGTCCAGTTTCAGTTCACTTATTTTAACCATTTGCATTCATTTTAATCATCTATCAGTGACTTCCTTACTCCTGACAGTTAATGAAAACAGGACCTAGAAACAGTCATATGCTTCAAATAGCAACTTAACTAAGTTAAGTTTACTTTTCTAATTAAGAGCAAATAATTTAGCTTCTGGTTGTTTGGTTCTGCTTCAGTTACAACAGGTAGGTACTGTAGCACAAGTCTAGCTCAAAAAGGAGCTACTAATGTATCTTTGTTATATTTTTATCCCAAACCTATTCTATATCATTCCTTATTTCAAAAAGGAGCTGCTGGCTATAACATCTGCCATCCCATTATTGATCATCAGGGTTGACTTGTTTGATCTGCCTGCTAGGCAAGTGTCCCTTTCCTCCTGCACATGAGCATCTCTCCTGAAGCTAAAGCTGTGAAGTTGAGCACTTGGTCAAAGAGAATGACCCCCATCCCCAGTAGAAGAGGACAGTTTTCTTGGTCAAGGGTATATATATAGCTGTGCTCTCCTGCTAGAACTTCCAAACAAGCTCTCAAAAAGGAGCTCTGTAATAAATATCTGTAAAATGGTCATTTTTCTCCCTTAGTCAAATGCTGAATTGAATAGAAAACCCCCAGCCATGTAACAATTATTAGTTTTGCTATGTCAGAAAACCAACCACTAATAATTTTCTCTTATTTACTGTTTTCTAGGTTTCAGTCAGCAACAGAAAAGATACAGCAGTCAAAGACAAAATATGAGATGACCTCTTATGCAGAAACACCACCATAAGAGAAAGGTGCTACCTAATAAAAGCAGAGGGTAACAGAACGCAGACATGTTAACAATTATTCATCAAAGCATTTCGTACACGGCTAGAAATTTTTGACTTAAGTTCTAAAAACCTGGCTTCCTTCTAATTATGAAGTATGGCTAAGCGTTTCTCAAGAACCAAACAAGTGCAGAAAGCAAGCACAAATCTACTCATCCCAGGACATATTCTTGCTAATTTAATTTTTACTGCTCTGGAACTTTAATAAGTCAAGATATAATCAATTAGTACCTGCAGTTGATAGAGATACTTTACATAAAGTCAACATCATGTCAAATCCTGAATTCTACATTTATACCACCCAGAAACTAAACAAATACTATAAGCCAGTCTCTTATAGAGTGCAACAATTTATACTTTAGATTCCTAGCTCAGCATCTGTAACATATCAATCAATAAAGCAATAATAGGTAGAGGTGTCCAAAAGAGAAAAAGAGCTTCTAAGAGAGCAGGGTTAAGAAAAACAGATAAATCTCAGCGATCAAATGTTTATTACCAGAGATTCATCTGTCTTGTCAAAGCTGATATCTGATAAAATGGAACCAGATTCATCAATGGTTGACAGTCTAAAAGAATGAAACAACACAATATTAGACACAGGAGGCTACAGAACATAAAACCTGCCAACACTCAAAACAAGCACCTTTGGTGAGACAATATTAGCAAGTTCACAGCTGTAGCTTCTCTATGGAGACAAACTTAAACCTTAGTTGTGACTTGGGCTGTCTTAGTTGTGGTTTTCAAGGACACTGTGTTTGTGTGCACAAATATGGGTACACTATAATTGTTTTTTCAGCAAAGGACTTACAAGAAGTGACAGGGATAAGGGTGGTATTCCCTATAGAAAAGTGGAAGTTTAATTTGACCTCAACTGTGGTTGATTTCTATGATATTACCCAGCACTGTTTTTTTTAAGAAATTAAGCCCATACATCTTCTCAGCTGTAAAGATTCCCTACAAAACAAACAGGCAATGAAACAAATAACTCTAAGAGTACTGACCTTTCCCTACTTATTGTACTGGGAGTGTTAAATTCAAGGCCTGGCTAAGACCTTTTTTTTTTTTTTTTTTCTTTTGCGGAACCGGGGATTGAACTCAGGCCCTTGTGCTTGCCAGGGAAGCACTTATTCTACTGAGCCATCTCCCCAGCCCCAACCATTTTTAAATAGTGATACTGAGGAACCAAAATTGTTGTCTCATCCTGGTTTATAGCACCCTTTCTAAACCAAAAAAGCCAAAAAATAATTAATTAAAAAGATCAAACATACACACACACACACACACACACACACACACACACACACAGAGCCAGAAAAGCTGCAAGAGCTCTCTGGAGAGTAAACAGTGAATGTGTTGCTGAACTGCCACTTTCACCTCTAGGTTTCTTAGCAATGTGCAGGGTTAGTTACTGATGTGCAATTTAGCAACAACATCAGAATTTCATCCATGGTGGAAAAATACCCTAAAAGGAGAGATTAACCTAAAAAAAAAAAAAAAA